ATAGCCGATCCGGAGAAGGTGGGATCGGCATGACCCAACCTGAAGACATGCCATTCTGAAAGTTGGTGATAACCAAGATCGTTGAGTTAGATTTCATTCAAAACAAGTTTGAAGTAATTTGGATAGGCGGTATGAAAGTTACATAAATTATCATGCAGATATGTCAATCTGGGCTTGTCAGTGCCGACACGAAGAGATCGGATCACCACAACTTGTGCTGAAAATATTACGGGCTGAAATTTTGTCAAGAGATAGATAATGGACTCAGCTTTCATTCAAAAGAATATTAAAGTCATTTGGATCGGCGGTATGAAAGTTACATCAATTATCGTGGAGACATATCAATCTAGGCTTGTAAAGACCGATCCGAAGAGATCCGATCGCCACAACTTTATCTAAGGACAGAACAAGCTGAAATTTGGGCACAAGGTAGATAATTGAGTCAACGTTCATCCAAAAGAAGATTGAAGTCATTTGGATTGGCAGTATGAAAGTTTCATCAATTATCGTGGAGATTTGTCAATCTGGCTGTGAATGAAGAACCAACCTGAACCATACAAACCGGATCGGCACACTTCAGAAACGGCTTGCTCCATATCAAGAGATCGGTTTGCCTCATCTTCAAAATGGTTATTCCCATCTCCAAAGATCAGTTTGCCTCATATTCAAAATGGTTCGCCCATCTCCAAAGATTTTTTTTACCTTGTCTTCAAAAATGGCTCGCCCTATTTTCAAAATGGCTCGTCCCACCTCCAAAGTTCGTTTTTGCCTTGTCTTCAAAAATGGCTAGCCCTGTCTTCCAAGCGGCTTGCCTCATCTCTAAAACGGGTCGACATTGAAGTACAAGCCACTAAACGGTGAGCCGTGTTCATTAGAGTTCCACTCAAATGAATCGGCATACACATAATGGAACAAGAACGGCTCGGCATTCTTCATCAAAGAATGCGTTGACACTATTTAGCGAAACGGATCAGAATCGTCTTCATTCAACGTACCGGCATCCTCTTTGATTAACTGGATCGACTTCAGTGCTACTGATTCTAACTTTAACTATTTCTTTACCTTGACATTATCATAACGAACACTGCTGAGCTGGGGGGCTAGCTGTTGGGACAAATTCCACCCTGAAAAATCAATAGGCTAAAAAAGACTAAGCTGCATCATGAACCGGCGAAGCGACAAGCAGCATCATGAACCGGCGAGCCGCATCTTGAAGCCCGCTCGACCTCACGTGATGATCTATTAGGCCGTCATAACAGTGAGCCAATGGGTCGTTATAACGGCGAACTGATGGGCCTCGTGAGACGATGCCCATCATGAGACAATTCATTGGGTCCTGCGCAATGGGCCATTAGGCCTAGTGCGACGATCCGTTTAGCCAACTATGGGTCGATCCTTTACCCTTGAACAAAAGGGCCGAGCCAAAGCAGAATATCAAAAGAGCAAGCCTAAGACGAAGGCCCATCAAGACTATCCGACTTAGAGACATCCGCGAATAAAAGAAAATCCTGAAGAATAAGGAAGTTTTCCTTTATTGTTTTGGGATAGGCCTAATCGACCTATACCTTGTATAAATACTCATGTACATCCTCTAAACAGGGTATCCGCAATTTTAGAGCAAACCACTTGTATTCTGCAACAGCTTTCTAAACAGCTAATATAACTCTCTTGAGATCTATTCGTTTTAGTGGTTTTTCCGCATAAACTTTTCAGATCCTCTAAAAGTTACTTGACAAATATAATTGTGAGATTCGACTCTCACATATGAATCAAAAGTCAAATACCTAGCAACTAACAAGAGCACTAGATTAGTTTAGTTGGGAAACTTTATTTTTCACTATAAAGTGGAGTTTAGTATACTTCTCCAACCCACTCAATTTCCAACTTGAAAATAGAGTAAAAAAATACGTTAACTTCAAATATTGAGTAATCATATTCTTCAATTCATTTTTTTACTCTTTACTCACTTTTTTACTCCAAAATGAAGTGGAGTTGGAGTAAAACGCAACTATACTTTAGAGTTACTCTATTTTGGAATAAAAAAATAGACTAATGGGTTGGAGATGCTCTTAATGGTCCCCTTCATGTTAGTGATTTGTATACTTAGACAATCATGACAATACCAAAAACATTATTGGATTTGGTTTGTTTTAGTTACTTTGGAACCGAATTATTAGAGAGGAGGCAGCAAGAAGAGGAGCAAGACCGAGGCAAGCAAAAGAGAAGCCGAGGTTGCAGCTCAAAGAAGAAGGAGCAAAGCCAAGGAAAGGCAGATGCTCCAACAATCTATCAAGACCTTGATTCATACTTCTTTG